TGCTCTCAGAAACAGACGAGGCAGGGCCGCTGCTTAATGATGCAGCGGCGGGATCTGTCGCCAACGATAAAAGCCGTAGTTTAATGAGCGTTAGCACCTGGGAGAACTTGTGTCCACCACCAGAGTTTGTCAGTGTAACTGAGCAGGACCCACCGGGGCCTTCCTGGAACAGACCTCCCCACCCACGCCCCCTGCCAGCCTCTTGCCTGTAGAAGAGCTTTAATCTCCTGGGACTTCCCCAAGTTCCAAAGAGTATGTTTTGTTGGAGAAGTGAGAAAATGCAGAAAGAAAGGAACACGGTCTAGCAAGACAGCATAACAACTGTTCAGCCATTAAACAGAGCCCCGGACCCCAAGTTCCTCCTCCAGGGCTGCAGATAATATTCTGAGCCTCGTCCTTTGAGCTGTTTTGCAGACACTGAAGCCCCTACCAGGGGGAAGACGTTAACTGCGAGCTGCCCACGCAGACCCCAGACCGGTTGGAACCAGAAGGCTGACGGTGTTGACTTCCGATGACCTCACCACCAGCCAATCAGAAGAACGTCCACGGCTGCCCCCCCCCGTCTTTAAAAACCTTTCCTTGAATGGCCTGGGGGAGTTCGGGTCTTTTAAGCAGCAGCTGCCGGGACCCCTTGCTTGGCGCCTACTGTAAACGCTGCCCTTTACTTCACCAGCACCGGGGGCAGGAGTCTGGCTTGCCTGCACGCAGGCCAGCAGACCTGAGTTTGGCTTGGTACCAACAGCTTCCAAAGACTGAAAGGCTCTTTCTCATGAGAGCAGTGGCGATGTTAACGTGATGTAATGAAATGTGCCAACATTTGGAGAAATCCACTGAGCTCAGCAAACCAACGCTCTCCGGATGACCGAAACACGCGGGTCCAAAAGCGCGCACCGGTGAAGACCCTTCCAAGTGAAAACCAGACCCAAGGTGCTGCCACAGCAGAGTCCCTGACGGCCATCGATGTGGCTTTGGTTCCACTTTTCAATGCCCTTTGAGAAGCTCTTACCGGTGGGGGAGGGCATAGCTCGGTGTTGGAGTGTGCACTTAAAATATGCAGGGTACGGGGTTCAATCCCCAGTACCTCCATCAAAGATAAATAAATAAAAGCTTAACTGCCCCCCGCCCAAAAAAGAAGCTCTCATTGGTCCAGTTTTGGTGAAGCATCAAAGCATATCCACGGTTGCCCGAAGGGCAGGCTTGCTCGTCGTCCTCCCCGCCACCACGCAGACGGGGTGCATCAGCAGGCAGGCTGGTTTCTCCAGCTGCCCTCTCCACCCAGTCGTTCCAGAGACTCGCAACAATGTAGAACACTTCTTGCCGAATTTTCCATTTTGGGAAAAAATAGTGTTTTCCATAAAATGTTACTTATATTAACATGTAATGAGTCGCTTGTTATTTTTGGTGAGATGCACCCCTGTCCCTTAAGTGACCAGCTCTAAGCTCTCCTGTGGTAAATGTCAGATGAGGGCCCGGGGGGCCCGAGGAGGTGAGCGTAGTCAGTCAGCCGCGCTCCAGCCAGTCAGGAGCGGCGGGGAGCGTGCCTGAGGCCTGCAGAAGGGACTGCTGTGGAAGTGGTGTCTCGGGTCAGAGCTGGCTTGGAAGCCTGCCTCTGTGTAGCCCAGAAACTCTCTCTGAGCCTCGGTTTCCTGATCTGAAGAGCAGGGGCAGAGAATGCCCTCCCCGCAAGAGACCGCAGGCGCAGGGCCGGCGCAGGGCCGGCCCAGGGCGGGAGGAGCCCAGCCCGGCAGGGGGGCCCCTCCCTGTCTTCATGCCCTGGGACCCCTGCCCGTGGGGGCTCTTTCTCCACCCTCGAACCAGGAGCACATCCCACAGGGGCCGGCCGGCAATCACAGGGTTCCACCCCACATTCTCCGGGCTGATCTGAGCCCCACCCACTCCACCCCAGAGCTCACTTGGGCCCAGCAGGCAGCTCCATGCTCTGCCTCCCCACAGGAGGTGGGGAAGTGGAAACATCTGGTGAGCTCAGCCTCCACATCACAGTGCAGGGGGTTAGATGGGTCAGAGGAAGGGGCCGGAGGAAGGACAGCACAGGCCCTGCCTGGAACACCTCTGTCGGACACCAGGCCCCTGCAACCCTGAAAGGAACCCTGAGTCTTTGGTGGGGAAGAGGGCCCAGCTGAGCTCAGGCTGCTGCTGTGAGCAGGGGCCGTCTATGGGAGGGGGCACTTCAGGCAGGAGGGGCAGCATGTGTAAAGGCCCTGTGGCTGGAAGGAACTGTCTGGTCCCTGGGGCCCAGGGCTGGCTTAGAGTCCCAGGTCGCAGTCCAGCATCCTTAGACAAAACTGCCAGCCCTCCTCTAAGGGTTCCCCAGGGGAGCTGAGACAAGGCACTTCTCAGCTCTGTCACCTTCATGGCTGGCACCTGACCCTGTTCCTCTGTTTTTCCCTCACTGTCCCCATGCCCCCTGGGGGGGACCATCATGGCACCCACACCCCACTGCTGGGTGGGCATCAGCCACCAACAATCAGAGGCACCCCTTGTCTGCCAACAGCTGCGCCC